GGACCAGCCGAGGTCTCCCACATATGTGTTTTTTGACACTCCAGGTGCAAGTGACTTGAGTGTGTTTACAATCCTCCTCGCTGATCTTCCGTTATTTTCCCACATTCTAGAAGAGTATGTGAAGGCTAGCACTAAAGTCAAATAGCTGCAACTTCAGTTTGAGTAGGGTTGTGGTCTGAGTGGCATCTAATGAATTAATGAAAACTGATATCGCCTTTTCTAGTTGGAAAGAAAAGCTGGTTCATATATTCAGGGGTTTTTAGTATGACTGAACTCTAGATTTGGCAAATGATTAAGAAATGCTAAAGAAACTGTCTAATCTTACAACATGAGGAAACTTTCAGCAGTATTAGAATGTGTGTGTCCCAAATTGTTCTCAATTGGGAAGATACTATAGAAAAGAGGCAGTAATGAGCAAAAATACTGTTGTTTCTTTGAGAAGTTACATAATAAAAAGTATTTGGGGATTGTTTGTACACAGCTTTGTTTAAGCTTATCTGCTATTACTTTCTTACCAAATTTGACCGTAACACCTTCCCTCCCCCCTCCCAGTCTGAGATGTATTCTTTTTGTTCATATGTCATTTCAATTCTGATAGCACTGGTCTTTATGGTAGGGTTGCTAAGCAATGTAGAAAAATTGCCCAACACTAAATGATAGCTAATTTTATGCAATTATTAAAGTAAGACATCAGTGCAGAGCAGTAATCTGGTGGGTGGGATTTCATATTTGAATGGGACAAGCTTTGTTGAAGTCCCCTCCACATCATGGGCTGGTCTTTTTGACTTGTCTTTTTTTAACTTTTCCTGTGAAGAGAGTAGTTTCTTTACCTTGTCAAGCTTTTCTCTGCAGTCATGATCCTGATCTTTGATACTAGCTCTGGAGACATAAAAGACAAGCTCTTATAAAATGTTCTCAACCTTGTACATTGTTTCTGTGTTGCATGAGAAAGAGAAGTAACAACAGATTGTGTAGTTGCTGTACAATACTACTACTTGCAGTACTTTGTCAACAGTTAACAACTATACTTTAAGTAGAATAATGTGAAATATGGAAAAGCAAAAAAGGGCTTATCTCTTGCAAAGGTTTGGTTTTTTTTTTGCTACTTCAATCCCCTTGCAGAAGAGATTGCACATTCATTGATGTTGCAGCAATCTTTTTATATGCATTTTTCTGTGTCTGGTCTTAAGGCCCAATTCCAGATTTGAATCTCCTCCAACTGCTGCAGTGAAGCATTACATCTGCTTTGTTTGATTATTTTTGTTTCAGTTAGTCAATAGGCCAAACTTTAACACATAGTTTCATTGCAAATGTAATTAGCGCTAAGCTGTCAAAAACTGAAACAAGTTTAATATTGCTGGTTGCTCCAATTTCAATTCCCAAATGTGTTGTGTTATCCTTGCAGCAGTGCACTGTCAGTAAATGTGCAAAATATACTTGGTAAAATCTATTTGCTTTACTGTTGCTGTTAATTGCTTGTAGTAGAACAGTATGGGGTTATCAGAAATGCTTAAGTAAAAATTAAATTTACATTAAAATTTAAGCTTTACTTATTGAAAAACTTGTTCCTCGTCCTAATGGTTTCTGGGTATTTGTCCACTTTTCAGTGTTTTAACCTGTGCCCAGTACCAAAACTGCCCAGTTTAACCACAGATGTGCTTGTGTTTGTGGGTTTTGGTTTGGTTTGGTTTTTTGTTTTAGCATGGAGCCTTTCCTGTTGACCACTTTGTCTCATTGACTGCTATGCAGGAGTGAACAAATGCAGAACTAATTTCAGTGGAAAGGTATCTGTTAAGAAAACAAAGGAAAAGAAGAAAAGCAAAGAAACTGAGGAATATTCTGCTTCCAGTGAAGGTGTTGAGGAGAGCGTTGGATCTGAGGATGAATTGAAAGAGGTATCTGAGGCAGAGGAAAAAGAAGTTCCTGTATCCAGCAGGGTTCCAACCCCCAAATCCATGCAGTTCATTGAAGATGATGATGATAAGGATACTAAAGACCTTGATTTGCTGACAGTGAAATGACAGGAAGCTTTTGGTGTGGAAGCTAAAGATAGTCCAGCACTGGTCAGTGAATTTTATAGTAAGGTTCATGAATCTTAATGATTTTATATTGGACATACTCCAAGTAAGGAGGGGAAGAAAGGAGAAAATTATGCTCTTAGCAGAATACTTGCTTGAAGTTAGATGTGTTGTCTGTGTGTATCAGAGGTCAGAACTGTTCCCAAAAGATAAGTGATGTGAATTATGTTTTTATCATTTTATGTTATTAGCATAAAATAAGTAATTTTATTTGTAGAATGTATATCCTTGTAGTTGCTTTAATTTATGAGTTGTTATGCATAAATTATGACCGGAATATATTGTTAATCATAAATTATGACTTGAATACCTGGGAAATGTTGACAGTTTTAATTCTTATAATTTACTAATTTGGTTGTACCTTCCTAAAATAGCTGCCACTTTTAGTCAAAATTTTGATGGTGTACGGCAGTTTATGGCACTGGGAACCAAATTGCAATATGTCACGAGCCACTTTCTAATACAAATTGTAACAAATGATCTCAACAGTAACATAACCTTCAAACTATGATTTTTACTTTCAACAGGACCTTTGCTATTAGGAACTGAACCAGTATCAGAGAGAGAAAGAGAGCGAGCGAGCTTCTTGTAAAGCATGGTTATAAAGGTTTATTAAAAGTATTCATGTAGATCTTTAATTTCCTTGGCAAATAGTTTTATATATTGGGTTTGCATGGCAAGGTTTTGGTAGCGGGGGGGGGCTAATTGCTAGGGTGACAGCATACTTCTTCCAAATATACTACTAGGTTTTCAGGATTCTGCACTTGTTCAGGGGTGAAGTTCCAAAATACTGGAGGTGCCCACCATCCTAGCCACTTGCCTATGCTATTCCACAAACCCTGCCACTCATAACTATCCAGTCTCAGGGCAGATCTCTGGATGATATTCTTAAATTGCTTGCTAACCTTAGACAAAATGAAACAATATTCCCAAAAAATACCAATAGAAATATTTTAACTACCCAAGGATGTTCAAGGTACTGAAAAGTTATTATAATGAAGGAGGAAACATCATGGAAGAAGGTAGTGAAGATGCCATTCTGTATTCCCTCCATAAAAAAACTCAGAGGAAGAAGTATAATTGCTAACTGTCTCCACAAGATGGTACCTGAGGTACAGTAATAGCTTCAGCACAAAACTCAAATACCAGATTAGGATCAAGGTCAGTGTTCTAATAACAAATCTCCCACACAAAACATTACTAACAATTGCAGAGCACAGCAACCTGCAAAAGCCAACACCAATCTTTAACATGTACAGCAAAAACAAGACCATGATGCAGATCAAATAAACTAATATAGAGAACAGATGAATCAATATCGTGTCCCACAACTGTTAACATATATAAATCCCTTAATGTGCCCTGATTAATGTGTTATTTTCTCAAACCCTTCGAGCCCCACGTTGGGTGCCAAAAAAGGACTGTCGTGGTTTAACCCAGTAGGCAGCCAAACACCACGCAGCTACTTGCTCACTCCCCCCATGCCACTCCCAGTATAATAGCTGTTGTTAGAGACACCATTGATTCCTCATCCTTGTGTCTTCCCTAGCCCCTCCAGTGGAAGAAAGAGCAAGAGGTGTTACGCTGGCTCTGAGTATCCTGTGTGGTGACCCTTCAGTCATAGGTGGAGTGGGCTCACCCATCTTTGTAACAAGGGAAAGGAACTGGGCAAAAGGAGCAGGAGTTATTTAAACTGATGATTGAGTAGAAGGAGATTTGTGGGACTTTCTTAGAACATTTTGGTTTTGTTGAATGACCATGGTACCCAACCTAACAATGAAAGTTAGATCATGGTGTGAAGTGAGACACATCTTATGTTAGTTCTGTTAATAGCGAGACTTGGAGCCCAATTCCACTTTCCTCTTTCCC